TAGTAGTGGTAGTAGTCGTCGTCGTCGTAGTAGTAGTAGTAGTAGTGGTAGTAGTAGTAGTAGTAGTAGTAGTAGTAGTAGTAGTAGGCTTCGGCGCGCGCTTCAGCGCTTCAAACAATTTTGCAGGCATTCGGCGCGCGCACGTGTTGTGAGAGCGTGCGCGCGGAGCGCTCGAGGGTCGCGTCCTGGGCGCTGACTGGCTGGCCACGTCCTTTGGGGGAGTGCGGTCGGCGCCGTCTGCGGCCCCGCCCCTTTTCCCTTGCCCCCCTGGCGCCCGTGCCTGCTCCCTGGGGCTAGCTTCAAATCGGGCCTGTTCCTCTACAAGGGGCATCTTCAGAAATAGCTAGAACATAATCGGGGGACTATTTTTTAGCATTTTTCTACTATTTTGGGGTATTTTTCGAGGACATGCCCGACTTAAGGCTAGCTCCCCTGCAAGGCTTGACAAACTGTGCGTGTGTGTGTGTGTGTGTGTGTGTGTGTGTGTGTGTGTGTGTGTGTGTGTGTGCGTGTCTGTGTGTGTGTGTTTTCGCATTTCGGCGCAGCTCCTGTGTCTTCGATTGCTGCACTCGCAGCTCGGAGCGGAGGCCCGTGTTCCCGCAGTGTGCGAATGCTTCTGGCCCAGCGGCCTCCCGTCTTTGAAGACGTTTCGAGGTCGTGTCTTTTCTTATCCTCCCCCCCACCCTCCTCCTCCTCCTCCTCCTCCTGCTCCTCCTCCTTGACCTCCTTCTTGCATCCTCCTTGACATCCCCCCTCCTCCTCCCCCCCGGCTTCTCCTCGACCTCTTCCTTGGTCTCTTGCCCCTCCTCCGCACCCCCTTCTCGTCCTGCTGTTGCTGCTCCCCCCTTCCTCCTGAGTCAGGACCAGATTCGACCCTTGGCTGTGACGTGCCAGCCTCATCTTACAGCTCAGAACGTAGCGTGAAAGATCTCGACCGATCTCTCCAGGGTTTGCGACAAAAGCAGGTCGGCTTAACGTGTGCTCGGAGTTGTTCTTGGATGCTGCTTCGCAACTGCTCTGATCCCCTCATGATCCTTGACTTCCTCCTACTCCTCCTCTTTGACCGCTTCCTCTGATTCCTGCTTCTCCCTCCTCCTCTGTGAAACTCCTTCCTGGCCTCCTCTCCCTCCTCTCCTCTCCCTCTCCCCTCCCCCTCCTCCTCGTTCCTATCCCCCTCCGTCCCCTTCCCGTCCTCGCCCACTTCCTCCCCCCCAGCGGGCGAGTCCCGAAGGTGGTGGCGGCTGCAGGAAAGGTCGCAACGAGTGCTGGGACGTGTACGTGCTGCCCGAGCACGAGAGAAAGGCCGCCGGGGCGGGAGGGCGGCAGTGGCCCCCGCCCTCCGCAGAGGGGCACCCGCACGCCGCCACCGTGCCCGGCCCGGGCCGTCCGGGCCCCAGGATGGCGTGCACGGGCCCGCCCAGCCTCGGCCAGGAGGGCACGTGCGCTGTGGTGTGCCGGGGCCCAGGGAGCCCCTGGCCGGGCTCGGCGGCGGGGCGCCGGGTGCCCTCCTGCGTGCAAGAGCCTCCAGCGCCCTGGCCCAAGGTTTAAGTCGGGCGTGTCCCCCCTACGGGCGGAGTTTGGAGGACAGACAAAAAAAGGTCAAAACATATATCCACAATTGTCGAGATAAAACGGTTGAGAGATCGTCCCCATATTATTTTTGGACTATTTTTGAATTTTCCTCCTGTAGAGGGACAGGCCCGACTTAACCTTAAGTCGGGCCTGTCCCTCTACAGGGGGAAACTTCAAAAATGGCAACAAAAATAGTCCGGGGACGATTTTTTAGCATTGTTTGACTGTTTTGGTGCATTTTTGGGGTATTCGAAATGTTTCGCCCAACATCCGCCTGTAGGGGGACCTGCCCGACCTAAACTTAACCCAAGATCGCGGCGGCAAGTTGCCCGGTCGGGTTTTCCGCCTTCGGGGCGCAGGCCCCTTCGCAGAGCGGCCCGCGGCGCGAGAGAGCCACCGCTCGGGTGCTGGGCACCGAGAGCGGCCAGAGCACCCCGCGGGCCGAGAGAAGCAGCACTGGCCAGGGGGCTGAGGCGGGCGCTTGCTGTTGCGCGCGCGCGTGGGGAGGATTGGGGGGCCAGAAGGAGGAGGATGATGGGGGAGGAGGGGGAGGAGGAGGAGGAGGAGGGGGAGGAGGAGGAGGAGGAGGGGGAGGAGGAGGAGGAGGAGGAGGAGGAGGAGGTTCGCGCCTTCGGAGCACTCAAGCTCAAGGTCTAGTGGATGAATCCGCGTCCGCCTCGGCTACGCGCCAGGAGGAGGATGGAGGAGGAGGAGGATGAGGAGGAGAAGGACGCGGGAGATGAGGAGGAGGATGCTGCTGCTTCTGCTGATGATGCTGATGAGGCTGGGGGTGTTACTGCTGATGCTGCTGCTGATGGTGATGATGGTGGTGCTGATGATAAGCATGATGATGATGGTGATGACGATGATGATGAAGATGATGAAGATGATGCTGATGAGGATGATGCTGATGAAGATGATGATGAGGATGCGGATGAGGAGGAGGAGGAGAAGGAGGTGTCCCCCCTTCTCCTGCCGCATTTCCTTTCTCTCTCTCTCTCTCTCTTCTCTCTTCTTCGCTTCTTCGTCCCTCCCAGGCCGATGCTGGTACAAGCAACCTGCCACTTATTGCTGGTCTCCCACCTCCTCGGATGCACGGTTTTTGAGGCAAGCTCGGACGCGCATGCGTGCCTCAGAGATTGGCTTGGTCCCCCACGGTTGTCGGCCCGCACTCCGCACCCGCGGCGAGAACACTGCGTAGTGCGCCAGGCCATGGTCGCGGGTCCCCCGTCGCTTGCCCTTCTGGTCTTGCAGCTGACAGGGGGACTTTCTGAGGCTTCGCCAGGGGTAGAGCCACTGAGTGGACGATTTCTTTTCGTAGATCGGCGTCACCCCAACATACTTATACTATATGTGCGTCGCCCCCCCAGGGGCGACGCGCGCACCGAGAAATCTGGTAGTGTATGCGTCATGGCGGGCGCTTTCTGGCCACGCCGCTCGGGAAACGATATACTATAAGATGGGTATACTATATGTTCGGGTCGCACGCGCGCCACCGAGGTGGACATGTATCAAGGGAGGAACAACCACCCGGACAGGACAATTGGCGTTTACTATACGGCCCTGTACGTTTACTAAAGAACCCTGCCCTGCTTGATTTCTTTTTTTGGTGCGTTTACTAAACGCCTTCGCGTGTCGGGGTGGTTATTACCAGGGCGGATTTTCTGCCCTCTAATATCGTACTAGTATTTCTCTGCGCGCCCCAGTATACCGCGATGGGTGGAAGTCCCACCTGCATCCGTGAAACGGACGACCCCCCACGAGTTGGCCTCGCGGCCCAGGGGCCTGGCCCGAGAGGCCGCGGACACGGATATATGTCAGGAGGGGAAAAACAGACACAGACACAATGAATCGTCGATCCCCCAATCGGAGGAAATATAGGACGTGGGGAGGAGGACGAAAACCCAGAACATATGGGAAAATATGGAGAACCCTGGGATTTGTGTGTATTTATTCGTGTGTCCCCGGGCCCCTCCAACATGTTTTTCGCCCACGACCAGCGGCCTCTGTCCGACGCGGGCTCGAGGCAGCCTGGACGCGGACGAGGATCCATGCGCGGATGCGCCGTGTTCCAGCGGGTTCGACGTGGGTTCGGGGCGGATAGCGACGCGATGGGGCAGGCAAGGTCTTCCGAAAACGCATCACAACCTCTCGCCCTCCCTCTTACTCTGCCCTCTGCCTCACGCCGTCCCTGTCCCTCCCTCCGCCGCGAAATGCGCATCAGCCCTGCTGGTTCGCCGCAGGAGCTGACTAGAGAGGGGAAGGGAACCGAAGTTTCCACCCACGCCCAGACAGAGCTGGCTTCCAGACAAACTTTTCAAGGATCTAGCTTGATTGGGAAGAGAGAGAGAGAGAGAGAGAGAGAGAACCCTCCCGCTCGGATGGCGCCGACCTTAAGTCGGGCCTGTCCCTCTACAGGAGGAATATTCAAGAATAGTCAAAAAATAGCACGGGGACTATTGTTTGACCATTTTTGCCCATTTGGGGGGGCATTTTTGGAGTACTTTTTCTTTTCGCCCCAAATCCCCCTGTAGGTTACCAGCCTGGAACAGATCCCCATCCCTAAGCTGGGCATCGCCTCATCACAATGCCAATCTTAGGGATTCCCTTAGTTTTTCAGGGCGCATCCCTAAGATTGTCATCGCCTTTTGGCGTGCCACTCTTAGGGATAGGGACAAGTTCGAGGCTTGTGAGTAGGGGGACAGGCCCGACCTAACGCCAACGATGCACCCGCGACGATGCTGGCCAGGCCGACCCCGGACCCAGGAGGTCGGTGCGCACCCCCTCCTGTCCTGGGCGGGGGGGATAGACCTCCTACCCTGACACGTCGATTAAGGAATTGGCCGTTTTCGGTTCGCGAGAGGGCGTCGCGGCCGTCATTTTTGCGGGTCCAGGTCCGTCGAATTCTGTCCCAGGCCATTTTCATTGAGGGGAGGTTACTAAAGGGAGGTTTGCCCACCGCCGATCCTTGGCAGGGGGGGGAGCACACCACCGGCCCTCGGCCTGACCAGGATCGGCCAGGCTCAGGAGGAAAAACACACACAGACACAACTAATCGTCGATTCGCCAGAAGATCTGGGAAAATATGCGAAGTGGGGGGGAAGACAAAAACAAGGGAAATATGCGAAAAGATGGGGGATCTTGTTATTTGTGTCTATTTATTTGTGTGTCCCAGGGCCCCTTCACAGGCGATCGCCTACATGGATTAAGGGGCGTGGATTGGCGACTGGTCCCGTTCCCATGGGAAATCGCGGATTTCCGCCGCCGGACGAGGCGGCCCCGTCCGCATTTGGGGGAGGGCACCTCCCCCGATGCACGGGTTTGGCGACCGCGCGCCGAATCCACGGATCGCTAATCCATGTTTGCGCGCCTCCGAGTGTATAGCTGGTGCCCTCGATCCGCTCCCCCCTGCCCTTCAGTCTCCGCGCCCCGCTGCTTCCCTTGCAGGGGCCCTGCCGCCAGGGCTGGACCAGATCTCTGCCCTCGGATGCTTGCGGTGGGGGTGTTCGAAGAGGAATGTGCCCAGGAGGCTTCAGACCCTGGAGGTTTCCTTATCTGATGAGGGCGGCGGTGAAGTCCGTTGCCAAGCCTCAGTGGGTGTTCCACCAGCTTCCAGACCCTGGGTTCCTTCTCCATTACCCTCACCGTATGTTGCCAGCTGCTCCCAGCAAGAACCCCCCCAGGAGGAGGAGGAGGCGGAGGAGGAGGAGGAGGAAGAAGAGGAGGTCTTTCCCTGTCCCCTCACTTCCTCTCCGCTCGTCCCCACTAGCCTCCCTCCCCCCCCCTCAGCCCATGGGCGACGGCTTCGCCCACGACGAGGGGTCCAGGCCCCACACGTGGTGTTCGAACTTGGACGATATCTCCACGGCCGGCCGGGAGGAGGGCGCGGGGACGAGGAGGAGCGCAGGAACCCAACGGGCGGCCTGGCCAATGCAATGACCAGGGGGTCTCCAGCGGCCAGCACCGCACAGGGCCTCCCCGAGCTACCCCAAGCAGAATCTCTTCGGCAGTTCTTTTGGACGCTCCGCGCATCTCCACAGGCCCGGACATTTTTTTTGTTGTTTTGTGTTTTCTCATATCCTAAGATGGGGTTCTTGTTATTTCTTGGACGCCGCCGACTCCAGAGAACAAGAACACACCCAGAACACATACTTACTCATGCACAGACTTACTCATACTCAGACTTATTCATACCCAGACGCACTCATACACATACTTACTCATACTCAGACTTACTCATACCCAGACGTACTCATATACAGACTTATTCATACTCAGACCTACACATACTCAGACCTTCTCATAGTCTGAGTTGCTCAACACACGGCAGATTTTGAGGATGTCTCAGGCGGGGCGCCGGTGTCAGCACCCCTAAGGGGAGCCGCCAGGGGTGTTCTCACGGGCCCGTTCGCGGCCAGTTTGTGGGGATGTCTCAGGTGGTTTGCTCGTTTTCATGCCCAACATCCTTTGCTTTCAGAGCAGATTGTGAGGATGTCTCAGGCGGGGCGCTGGTTTCAGCACCCCTAAGGGGAGCCGCCAGGGGGTAGGACGCTCATGAACAGACGCTCACTATGGCATGACATAAAGCTCGAGATGCACATATGGGGAGCTCCACGCAGTGAGTAATGTTATCTCAGACCCGCTGCCCCAGAGGTCTCGGCCACTTCCCTCGGGACAGCTCCTCGTCCCGGGTCCACTGGTGATGGCCCTGGGGCCCGAGGTCTCGGCCTTCTGGAGGCCGAGATCGTGGACACGGCAGCCCGTCCAGGTGTCGAGTCGATCCTATGGGCGAGTAACGTCGCGAGGGGGGCAGCTTGGGTCGGGGGCGGCCAAGAGGGAGGTGAGGATTCGGGGTGTGAGTCTCACGGCTGGGGCCATGATGTCTGCCCGGCCCCAGGTCCCCCCCTCGTCTGCGCACACGCCTCGGGTCATGATTTGCGAAGCCCCCTCCTGGACGTCCCTCTCTTGGACGACCCCGATTTGGGCGCGTTGGGGGCCTGCTGCCCCTTCTGTGGGACCTTTGTTGGAGCCGGCCGCGGCGGGGCTGGCGGCAATGACCGGCGGCAGTGGCCCTTCTCCGGGGGACGTCAACCGACCACCTCACCGATCCTGGTCAGGCCCATCCCTGGGCCCAGGATCGGTGCGTCAGGGAAACAAGCAACGACGTGAATATGAACACTCGGAGGTTCGCGCGGATTTCTCGGATCGGCGCTGGACCCGCTCCCTGGCGTGCGGAGAGCGCCATGGGCCGAATACTCCGCGCGGACCTCCGAGTTTTTCTGTTTATGTCAGTGTCTGTTCCCTTACAGACGATTTTCTAATTCCCAACCATCCTGTGGTGTTGGGTCCTCGTTTTGAAGAGACGGTCCCCGCGTTCCTCTTCTCCTCCTCCTCCCCCTCCTCCTCTCCACCGCCCGCATGCGTCCCCCATACCCAATTTGGCACACCCCTCACACGTTTCGCGGCCCCATATGGAGCTCCACGGAAGGCCTCAGTGCCACTGCCCGCATGCGTCCCCCACACCCAATTTGGCATTTTGCACCCACCCAGTACAGCGTTTCGTGGCCCCATAGGGAGCTCCACCGAAACCCCAGTGGGACCGCCCGCATGCGTCCCCCACACCCAGTTTTGCATTTTCACCCACCCAGTACAGCGTTTCGTGGCGCATAGGGAGCTCCACCGAAGCCACCAATGGGACCGCCCGCATGCGTCCCCCACACCCAATTTGGCATTTTCACATACCCAGTGCAACGTTTCGTGGCCTCATAGGAAGCTCCACCGAAGCCCCCAGTGGGACCGCCCGCATGCGTCCCCCACGCCCAATTTGGCATTTTCGCAGACCCAGTACAGCGCTTCGTGGCCCATAGGGAGCTCCACCGAAACCCCAGTGGGACCGCCTGCATGCGTCCCCCACGCCCAATTTGGCATTTTCACCCGCCCAGTACAGCGTTTCGTGGCCCCATAGGGAGCTCCACCGAAGTCCCCAGTGGGATCGCCCGCATGCGTCCCCCACATCCAATTTGGCATTTTCACTCACCCAGTACAACGCTTCGTGACGCCATAGGGAACTCTACCGAAGCCCCCAGTGGTACTGCTCACATGAGTCCCCCACATCCAATTTGGCATTTTCACCCACCCAGTATAGCGTTTCGTGGCCCAATAGGGAGCCCCACCGAAGCCCCCAGTGGGACCGCCCGCATGCGTCCCCCACACCCAAGTTCGCGGCCCCATAAGGAGCCCCACCGAACCTCCCAGTGGGACCGTCCGCATGCGTCCCCCACACCCGATTTGGCATTGTCACCCACCCAGTACAGCGCTCCGTGGCCCCATAGGGAGCTCCACCGAAGCCCTCACTGGGACCGCCCGCGTGCGTCCACCATGCCCAATTTGGCATTTTCACCCGCCCAGTACAGCGCTTCGTGGCCCCATAGGGAGCTCCACCGAAACCCACAATGTGACCGCCCGCGCGCGTCCCCCACAGGGAACTCCACCGAAGCCTCCATTGGGACCGCCCGCGTGCGTCCCCTCACACCCAATTTGGCATGGAGCTTCACCCACGGCCCCAAAGCTACCGCCCGCATGCGTCCCCCCCCCGCCCAGCGCAGCGCTTCGTGGCCCCATAGGGAGCTTCACCGAAGAAGATATTCACAATTGCGGTACCCACAACTTCATATGGTTGGGTCCGTCGCCAGGATAATTTGATTATTCCCAACCAGCCTGTGTTGTTGGGTCCTCGTTTTGAAGAGACGGTCCCCGCGTTCTCCTCCTCTTCCTCCTCCTCCTCCTCCTCCTCCTTCTCCTCTCCTCTCCTCTCCTCTCCTCTCCTCCCCCCCCTCCCCCTCTTCCCTGCGTTTCACCCACCCAGTACAGCGGTTCGTAGCCCCATAGGGAGCTCCACCGAAGGCCCCAGTGCCACCGTCCACATGCGCCCCCCCGGAGCCCCACCGAAGGCCCCAGTGCAACCGTCCACATGCGTCCCCCCCCACTCGGTACAGCGTTTCGTGGCTCCATAGGGAGCTCCACCGAAGGCCTCAGTGCCACCTTCCACATGCGTCCCCCCCACTCAGTACAGCGTTTCGTGGCCCCATAGGGAGCTCCACCGAAGGTTCCAGTGCCACCGTCCACATGCGTCCCCCCCACTCAGTACAGCGTTTCGTGGCCCCATAGGGAGCTCCACCGAAGGCCCCAGTGCCACCGTCCACATGCGTCCCCCCCACTCAGTACAGCGTTTCGTGGCCCCATAGGGAGCTCCACCGAAGGCCCCAGTGCCACCGTCCACATGCGTCCCCCCCACTCAGTACAGCGTTTCGTGGCCCCATAGGGAGCTCCACCGAAGGCCCCAGTGCCACCGTCCACATGCGTCCCCTCCACTCGGTACAACGTTTCGTGGCCCCATAGGGAGCTCCACCGAAGGACCCAGTGCCACTGTCCGCATGCGTCCCCCCCACTCAGTACAGCGTTTCGTGGCCCCATAGGGAGCCCCACCGAAGGTCACAGCGCTACCGTCCACATGCGTCCCCCCCACGCAGTACAGCGTTTCGTGGCCACATAGGGAGCTCCACCGAAGGACCCAGTGGGACCGTCCGATTGCGTCCTGAAGCGCCCATTCGGCATTTTTGCCCACTCATTACAGCGTTTCGTGGCCCCACAGGGAGCTCCACCGAAGGCCCCAGTGCCACCGTCCGCATGCGTCCCGCACACCCAATGTGGCATTTTCACCCACCCAGTGCAGCGTTTCGTGGCCCCACAGGAGCTCCACCGAAGGGTCCAGTGGGACCGTCCGCAAGCGCCCCGAAACACCCATTGTGGCATTTTCACCCACCCAGTCAAGAATTTCGTGGCCCCGTAGGGAACTCCACCGAAGGCCCCAGTGCCACCGTCCGCATGCGCCCGAAAACCGAACGTGGCATTTTTACCCACCCAATGGAGCGTTTCGTGGCCCCTTAGTGAGCTCCACCGAAGCCCCCAGTGGGACCGTCCGCATGCGCCCCGGAAACCCAATTTGGCATTTTCACCCACCCAGTGCAGCGTTTCGTGGCCCCATAGGGAGTTCCACCGAAGCCTCCAGTGGGACCGTCCGCATGCGTCCCGGAAGCCCAATTTGGCATTTTCACTTACCCAGTCCAGCGTTTCGTGGCCCCATAGGGAGCTCCACCGAAGGCCTCAGTGCCACCGTCCGCATGCGTCCCGGAAACCTTAGATGACACACCACTCACCCAGAACAGCGTTCCCCCCCACCCAGTGCAGCGCTTCGTGGCCCCATAGGGAGTTTCACCGGAGAAGATTTTCACAATTGCGGTACCCGCAACTGCATATGGTTGGGTCCTTCGCCAGGATAATCTGGTGATGGCGGCCGTTACCTGGGGTCGGGAGGGGACCAGTAACGTCAAGATTCGCGCCGGTGGCGGCTGGGGGTGCTTAGGAAAAGTGTTATGCTGTCGTTGCTTACGTACACAGAGGAAAAGCAATGGTATACAAGCGCGCTGCTATTACTACTGCTACTACTCCTCCTACTGCAAAATACTATACTATTATTATTACTACTACTACTACAGCTACTAGTGACACCACACAGATTGCACCACATTGATTACCAGCTTGACCTTGCACGACCGCGTCTTATCCAACTGGCTTGGTCACTGCACTCCACGGGGTCCGTGCCCACCGGGCGATGCCACCACCGGAGGGAGAGGAGGTGGATAAGGAGGACGAGGACGACGACGACGAGTATTGGTGCAGCGGTTGTAGTAGTAGTAGTAGTAGTAGTAGTAGTAGTAGTAGTAGTAGTAGTAGTAGTAGTAGTAGTAGTAGTAGTAGTAGTAGTAGTAGTAGTAGTAGTAGTAGTAGTAGTAGTAGTAGTAGTAGTAGTAGTAGTAGTAGTAGTAGTAGTAGTAGTAGTAGTAGTAGTGGTCGTAGTCGTAGTATTAATAGTGGTAGTAGTAGTAGTAGCAGTAGTAGTAGTAGTAGTAGTAGTAGTAGTAGTAGTAGTAGTAGTAGTAGTGGTGGTAGTAGTAGTAGTACTAGTGGTATTATTATTATTATTATTATTAGTAGTAGTAGTAGTACTAGTAGTTGTAGTAGTAGTCGTCGTAGTA